CTAAGAAAATTCTAAAATTTGTGAACATAAGAACCCTATAATTCCACCACAGTTGAAGCTATCTTGCTATGGCTGTCAGGCTGTGACATCTAGCGGTCGATGTGTCATCATGTAAGGGACGACGTGTGATTGATGCATTAAATGTGTGATTTTGTGATTAATTTTGTTGGTTTCGACGAATGTAAGAATTCCAGCCGGTTTAAAGGGAGGAGGAATGCTCTCTAGTATATTCAAGACTTATGGCATTTTAGGATTTTTGGTATGTTTTCTTGAGGAGATGCATTTGCTATACGATTATGTCACCCCCACCTCTTTTTTTACCATTTCTTTTACCATATAAGGACTTACAATTTTTCTATATATTACGTTAAAAATGAATGCCAAATAATAACAAAATTAATTTGGCAATCTAGAGTAGAATTCAAGAAAAATAGGCGTGTTTAATCACTTCATTTAAAAATTGAAGCTCTCACAAAGAGGTTACGTATATTTATTTATTTAAATTGTCTTCATTCCATCGTCTCACATGTTTTTAATCAAAAGGCTTAAAATGTACACTATTTTTAATAAATAGATAGACGTTACATTTGATCTTAGAATTTTGTCTAGTATACTATATTTAACAAAGTTGTGTAAAAGTCAAGATTATAATTTGGTATATTCGAATACGATCACTATATTTACCGTAATTGTAGCAAAAAAACTTACTCGATATTGAACAATTTCCAAATGGCCACACACCATACGGTTTGATAAGAATAATGATATTTATCACCACGAGTGACAATTGTCCGGATATTTACAATCGCATTAAATAACAGGTCAAAAACCTAATGAAATATAGAGATGCATGACCCAATTTATTGATATCATTTTTTGCCAAGTAACCATCGTGATGATAAATAGTATTATTATTCTTGATATTCTTATTCTATGCTCAGAACTATTAAAAGAATTTCGTACTCTATATTCAAATTTCGTACTAACAATCAAAATATGATCGTGTTGCCGGTGGAAGACCGAGGCTAAACAGACCAACTAAAGTTACCAAATATTTACCATAATAAACACAATTCCCTATTCAATAAATTTCGCATTGGCCTTTTATAATTTATTGCATTTTTTGATGTAACCATTAGCTGTTCATAATTAATATAATAGTTGAACCTCACCAAATAAGAAAAACCCCATAAATTCTTATTAGTAATTAACTTAAATTTTTTGTGGATTCATTTTTTAAGGGTAAGCAAGAAAGTTTCATTACGGCAAATTACCCAAAACTACAGACACAAAAAACATAGCATACGATCGACCCAACTACGTATATCCTGAAATAGTAGCGAAAGAAGCACATCGAGGAGCATAGAGCCAAGTGCCACCGCCAACTTCCTAAAGAAGTTTTATAATGTTACTTATAAGCCTACAACGGGATAAATCAAATTGAACCATCACATTCAATATAAAACATTAAACGTGAACCAAAGCTTTAAATAACATTCCTCGTGTAGTTTCACGATCTCGACATTACCAAAACCATAATTAAAATCTTATCTATTTTACTGTCTCGACAGCTAAGATGCCAGACTTGATCCGACTAAGATACCTGTTTGATAGCAAATTTTTCCCCGGAAATTTTTTTTCCACCTTTTGGAGGAAAACTTTTTCTTGTTGTTTTGGTTGGAATTGATTTTCCAGGTTCTTAGGCTTTTTTTTTTTTTTNTTGTTTTGGTTGGAATTGATTTTCCAGGTTCTTAGGCTTTTTTTTTTTTACAATTGAAAAAAATTTTAGACACAATGATAAATTTTTTTTTTTCACTTTTATTGACAATTTCCACGCAAAACAAAGTCAAACGAATAATATTCGGTATGGTAATTTTTTTTTTCATTTTTTTTTGGCAATTAGAACAAATTTTAGACCTAATGGTAGAAAAAAATTATCACTTTAATGGATAATTTCCATAAAAAATGATGTCAAACGGACACCAAACTTTCAACATTTTTCAGGTGGAAATTATACAAATCAAACACAATTAATTACAATTTTCAGTAAAACAATTTTTAGATAATTCAATTCCCTTTAAAAATTTTTTTTTCCACCAATTTTCCACATTTGCAATCCAACGGACCCTTAAAGTTTTCACTCGATTTTCACCCAATCATGAATGCATATTTGAACTTATCCAAGGGTCCAGAATTCCGTGGAGAATTTTTTGCTATACAATCAAATTTCAAAAGACTAAACTGACCCTGAAACCCTCTAAAAAGCTGCACAAATAGACAAAATATGACAACAGTCATCCCAAATATTTAGGGTGTTTTTTTATTGTAAGGGTGAAAAATGAGTGAAAAGAAAATAATTTTCAAAGAAAATAATTGTCTAAAAAATATTTTGTAGGAAATTGTTAATTAAATGTGTTTGATTAGTATAATTTTTTACCTGGAAAATTTTTGAAATTTTGGATTTTTTTGTTCACGTTTGGCTTTATTTTACATAGAAATTATCCAATAAATTGAATTTTTTTTTTTAACAATTGGTTATGAAATTTGTTTCCATTGCAAAAGAAAAAAAAAACGTGGAACTGCATTTTCCCATAAAAAATGGTGGGAAAATGCTTTCCCTCAAATCATGGAAAAAGGGCGCGTGGGGGTGGGGGTGAGAAAATATTTTACCTAGAAAATATTGCCTATCAAACAAGCTAAAAGTAAGAAAATGAATTTTTTTTCCAACTTCCATAAAAATAAATGGCTTATCAAAGGGGTATTACTGTTTTTCCAAAGACAATGTCATGTCACAATTTTTTTATAAAAGTCACATCACAAATACTTGCTCTACTTTCTCCAAGAATTACTTTTTTTCTAAATGAAATGTGACATCACCATTTTTTTAGCATTACGAAACAAAATGGAGATAAGATCTGAGTTCAATACATGATGACTTATGTTAGGTTTTGATACGGCTATCATGCATCGCTAAAAAGTTGTAGGTGCGTTGCATAGATCAAAATGCATTCTCCTATAAGAAAAAGTACCATAGGGACATGTGAATGTTGTTTTCTCCTAGTTTTTTGATCAATGGCTATTTGATTGTACCATGAATATCCATCTAGAAAGCAATAATGAGAATGGTCTGCTAATGTTTCCAACATCTGATCAATGAAGAGCAATGGAAAATGATCTTTTCTCATGGCATTATTCATCTTCCTGTAGTCAATACATACCCTTCGCCCAGTTACAAGCATTGTGGGAATTAGCTCATTATTTTCATTCTTCTCCACACTAGTTAAAGAATAAAGCTCCCATTTTCACTAAGATATTTGATTAATGATCTTTATATTTTAAATTGTACCACAAATGAAATAAATGTTACTTTTGCAAATCATTACACAAAAATCATACTATACTAGTGATACATATCTTTGGCATCTTAAACTAGACATATTAACCTTAACAGGATACAAAGATTTGCTAGAGATGGTCCACTTAACACACTTAAGGTCAAACCATTGCCAGTTTGTGATTCTTGTTTGGAAGGTAAAACGACCAAGAGATCCTTTTTTTTTTTTTATCAAAAGGACATAGAACCAAAAAAGTATTAGAACTAGTTTATTCTAATGTATGGGAACCCGTGAATATACCTGTGAAATGGGGCTATAAGTATTTTATCATCTTTACATATGATTACTCTAGATTAGGATACATCTATCTAATGGCTCGAAAGTTAGATACCTTTGAAAAATTCAAAAAGTATCGGACTGAGGTCGAAAAATAGTTATATTAAGACACTTCAATCAGATCGATGTGACGAATATATCTCGTGAAAACTCTGGAATACTTGATAGAAAATGGTATTGTTTCTCAATTGACTGCGCCTGGTACACCCTAACAGAACGGCATTTCAGAAAGAAGAAATATGACATTGTTAGACATGGTAAGATCAATGATGAGTTTCGCAACTCTACCTTGCTCATTTTGGGGATATGCACTGGAAATAGCAACATATGTTGTTAACTTACTGTTACTAAGACTCCCCTAGAATTGTGGAATGGGCACAAGTCTAGATTATGTCACATTTGAATTTGGGGATGTTTGGCTCATGTCCTAAAAGAGAAGGCAGAAAAGTTGGTGTCTACGTTAGAGATATGCTTGTTTGTAAGATATCCTAAAGGTACCATGGGATATTATTTTTATTGTCCTCAAGAAAGGAAGGTCTCTATTATTTTTATAGTGCTCTAGAAAGAAAGGTCTTTGTTAGCACAAATGCAACTTTCTTGGATGATAAATCTCTACTATATTAAAAGAGCGAATCCGGGGTTACTATTCATTTGTGAAGCATTCTCCTTCCCATTTTATCCTTGGTTTTCTCATTCCACATAGCCAACCCACCGTGTACTGTTCATTTCTGTGGCATTTTGTTCCCTATTTTATCCTTCCTACAATTATTGATTGAAGAGGATGCATTCATGCAACTGTTGAGGCAATCCGCCAGTTACTATTCATTCTTGATCAGGCTTCTCAACTACGTTTCATCTGTCACCACCTTCTTGTTCTCACCACCGCGGTTTCATAAATATCTCCTTACCTCCTACAGTGGCACAAACAAATACCAATTGAAAACGAAAACCGTGTAGCCAAATCCAAATTCCGTCTTCAGAGGAAAATCGTGTAGCCAAATCGAAAATTCGTCTTCAGTCTTGCCGGCGATTGGACCTTCAGGCGATTGGACCTCTAATACGATCCTTACATGATTCAGCCCCTCATCCGTCCTTCCATCCTCTCGTCTTCTCTAACTTCTACAAATATATCAAAGTTTAGTGTTCGTTTGGATTTTTTTTTTTTTATACTTGGTTATGAAATTTATTAACATTGTCAAAAAGTTGAAAAAAAAAAATTTTTTTTTTTCCCAGAACTTGGAAAATGCTTGGCAAAATAATGGCTATCAAACATGGCCTTATTCTCTTTTGTAGTGACATAGACTAACTCGCAAGGAAGAAAATTCTCTAATGGATTTTCCCAATTCCCTCTCGACTCCTAACATCAAAGATCGAAATGAATTCTACGTTAGGGCCGTTTCACGGTGGCCGATGGAAAACAAGCCGGCCACGACCATGCCGGTTCGACCGGCCGGTGTTAGGCCTTATGTTAGGTCGAAAATGCCTCGATTGAGATGGACACAGGATCTTCATCAATGCTTTGTGCGCGCTGTTGAGCGACTCGGTGGAGAAGACAGTAAGCTTCAAATTCCTTGATTTTGCATGTGCATGGAAATAGAGAGTAGAAACTTTACTGTGTGATTAACCAGATATTAAATATAATTCAGTTGAAATTAATTAATTAATTAATTTTGTTAATGTTTTCTGGTAGGAGCAACTCCAAAAATGGTGCTGGAGTTGATGAATGTGAAGGGGTTAACAATTACTCACGTAAAGAGTCACCTTCAGGTTGAAGACAAAAACCCTCCTTTGTCACCATGGAAGAATTTTTGTATTATGACATAACCTGTTTTTACTATTTATGAATAAATATAAAATATATAGATTTTCGTGTACGTAATCTAATCTCTCATTAATCTCTCATGGACAGATGTATAGAAGCACAAAGCATGAACATATGTTACAAGGTATGAACACAAACACACACACTACTACCAAATCATATAAGTGTATACACAAATATAAAAAAATTAATTATTTTTCAGAACTTTCATCTCAACTTATCTATTCCATTGAATGTTTGTGTTCATTGACGATATATTTTTGTCGTCGTTTGTTAAATTTTGTTGTTTAATCACAACTGTTGTTGACGTTCTTACCCAAAAAAGACACTTTCGTACATGTATTTTAGTTGAGTTATGCAATATAACACTAGAGGTTCTTAACACCAGTTTAAGTGACAGTAGGGTTATTATCACATTGTCAAATACTGTTCATATACATTCTTATTCATCGAACAATGTGAAAAATAGCCCAACTGCCACTTAGAGTGGTGTTACGATGCTAAACAACATTATTTATTATAACTAGACTAATTAATGTTATTTATTAATGGCGGTGATGAACATAGTTTATGCGATAGTGACGTCAGTGCCGATTGCCCAATGCAATTGCAATGTAGTTTTATTCATTGGATAATAAGACATTATCTCATTTTCACTTAGATTGTTGGTTACCGTGGTTATAATAACATTATTCTATTAATTAATATTGGATATTTAGCCCCAATTTGGTTTCACTAAAATTTGGATTAAAATTCAATTCAAAGTTAACACTATAATTTTAATCACACATTTCATATGATGGGACCCACGACTTCTTTAATCATACATTCTATCAATTTTCATCAAAATTTATTAAAAATCTGATTTTTTATCTAAATGAAACGGGGGCTTAATGTGAATTTAAAGTGATACTGATTAATCTTGCTTTGCCAAATTAAAATCCCTGTGGCATTCTTAATGTGACGAGTCATGTAAAAGACAATTCTGGTCAACTGATTTTGTATTCAATCCACTTGTAACCGGCGATTGAGCACTGCCACTGAAACCCATATGCACATAATGTCTACAAAACTACGAGTTTTTCTTCTTTAATCACGTGCAGTTCAACATATTCAACACGTCTTCACATTTTTCTTTGTATAAATTAAACGATTTACACAGCTAATACTAATATTTTGAGATGACAATACATATTGAAGAGGCAGTTGAAATCTTGGTGCCTAACGTAGGGTTTATTGTTGCAGATGCAGCTGAAGCTGTGGGTATGAACATGAATGTGCAATAGACTCATTCACATTGTTCACACAGTTCAGGTCCCTCCTATTCCCAGCAAACAAACCATCAACAATGTTACCGTCAGGGGTTCATTAGTAACAACATGATTCACAATGAAAATCGCGGGAGTTGTTACGATTTGGAGATTGTCCCAAGAGCCTCCACCAGGCCAGCAATATGGTTTCATCAAACTTCCATTTCATCGTTCTTCTGTTTAGTACGATTATTAGTAGCATTATATTTCAGCGTTCTAAGAAATTACTAGGTATGATTTTGTCTATGCTTTGATTTGAAGGCAAGAGCTCCGACAGAAATCAGATGAAAGGAACACTTTTCTGCCATTATCATACTCCAATGTAACAACACAAGGACATGAACATGGATTCAATGTTTCAACATCTATCATGTTCAAGGAGTTTCTGTGCAGCTCCAATTCTCAAGTAATAATTAAACATTTCTTTTAACTCATTCTCACACTCACCCCTGCATCCAATTTAGCAAGAATCAAGAATGTCCCAATGAGGAAATTCAGTGGCTCTTAACTATATATGCATTATATTTCCGGGGTGGTGAGAAGAAACAAATGTTGGCAGAAGTGCAGGATGGTAAGAGTTTCAAGTGGCTTCCAAATTCCTTGGCAGAAGAATCTGTGGGTACTTTGCCTTTGAAATTAGCTTTAGAATCATCCATCTCCACAGACGGTGCCAAAGATGTTTCTCTTGAGCTGACTCTTGGTTCATCTGTATCACATAAAGATAACTTATTAATTAGTCAAGAATTTAAAACCTATGTAAACTTGGTTTTTCATGCAGGAAGTATTTATTTGAAGTGAATATTAGATCTGTAATATAATTTTAATTTCCTCATTTTAATTTGCATATATCTTGAAAATCTCTCTCGTTTAAGCGAATGCATCGATTGGATGGACCAAAGAAGGAAGGGTGGGTGTTGTAGGTTGAGTCGAGTCTAGTGTAGCGGCAAGTATCTAATTCTTGTCTTATGTGTCAGGTCTTGGTTGAACTGGCCTTTCCAATCCGATTTTGATAACATTCTGCATGGATTTTATTTATAGCTTCTAATAAGTAAAATAAATTCACAAATATAAAATGAAGCGGTATTTTAATTTGGCTAGAATTAGGATAATCATCAAGGAAATTGTTAAAGCATGGATTTTGGCTGGTTATTTAATAGTTGCTGTACAATGACATAATTTTGCAAAACTATAAAAATTTGGAAAATTTATTTATCTTTACTTGTCAAAGACTGAAACTAATATACACAATATAATGAGAATTCATTCTACATTCAAAATGGTGGCCAAGATTATCCTTCTGTTGGTTATTGCTGCATTTGTTTACACCAATGCCAGGATCATTCCCATAATAAGAATGCAGCTGATGAGCCGAGGACATTCTTTCACCACCACTTTCTTCTTTATGGCCGGGATTTTGGAGGGCAAGGTGGATTTCGAGGCGGAGCCGGCCTGGGTGGTGGAGAAGCAGGGTTTTGGTGCAGGTTGTGGTTTTGGAGGTGGATGTAAGGATTTTAATTGAACATGTAGGCTTATATGTGAAATATTGTGTATTAAATTAAGTGGAAATTACACCAAACCATACTTTAAGTATTCAAAATTCTAAAATCAGATTCGAAATTTGATATTTCAAAAATCAAAAGCTTTTTTATATTAATATTTTTATAAAATAAATATATTTATTAAATATATATAATCCAATACACAATTTCACAAACCCTAATTACCCACTCTTCCCTCCTCTCTCTCTCTCTCTCTTTCGAATCCACCGGACTGCAACCCGTCGCCTCTCTTTCTCTACATTTCTCCCGTGACGGCACAGCCCATCGCCTTCCTCCATTTTCTCTCTACGTAACCCGTTGCCGCCCATCGTCTTCGCCTGACCATCACCCGCCGTCTTCGCCCACTGCCGGAGACCACTCTCCCTCTCTATCTTCTTCCTCTCATATTTTTGGGGGTTGTTTTCGAGTCGACTTGGCCTGTCAAAATATGAGCGCCAGCAGGTGGTGGAGGTGGCCGCGACTGATGCGAAGTTATCATAGCGTTGATCTGAGCGCCGACAAGTGGTAGAGATCACTGATTTGTGTTATTTGTGTGGTGGTGCTGGAGATCGATGCTGTGAGATGGGTGACTGCTGCGAAGTCGTGAAATGATGGGGGTGTACACGTGTGACTGATGGCGTTGGCTGTGCACGGGCGGCTGATCGCAGCGGTGTCGAAAGACGATTTGTGTGGTCGAACTTGCCGTCGTAGAAAATTTGGGGAGGGATCTGAAGTTTTTTGGACAATGGTGGCGTCGGTAAATTGAACACTGCTAGTGCTGTTACTGTTGGGAGCACAATCCGGAGGCTGAGGGAGCAGACAGAGAGTTAAATCTAGTGAATTTTGTGTTAGATTTCTGCATTCGTGTGCGTCTCTACTTTTACATTTTGTGTTTTTCAACACTGGGGGTGTGGTGTTTGACGGTGGTGTGGTTTGGTTATTGACGGTTTAGTTTTTGATTTGTAACCGGGAAATAAGTTGTGACCAATAATTTGATAATACGTGACCAATGAAATAAACTGGTGTCGACGACGACGACGACGTGGCTGGTGGCAGTGATGACTCAAGAGGTAGTGGTCACGGGGGTGGTCACAGGGGTGGTTACAAAAGTCAGTGGTGGTCACGGGAGTGGTTATAAAAGTCGGTGGTGGTCACGAGGGTGGTCACAAAATTCGGTGATGGTGACCTTAAAATTGTGACTAAAAATTAATCTGTGACGGGGGTGGTCACAGAAATTGGTGGTGGTCACAAAAAAATCTAACTGTGACCTTAAAATTGTGACTAAAAATTAATACGTGACCAATAAATTTGAACATATGTGATTGATAGATAACCGTGACCTGTAATTTTTTGATCTGTGGCCAATAAAATAATATGTGACCTGATTTGTGACCTCGAAATAATCCGTAACCTACAAAATTTTTGATCTGTGACCAATAAAAAAATCGTGACCTATAAATTTTTTGATTTGTGACCTCAAAAATAATCTGTGACCAATTAATTATGTATATGTGACCATTAATTGTATAATTGTAACATCATTATATTTAATTAATAAAATAAATAAATATTTAATTAATAATATAAATAATTGTCGGAATTGAAAAAGTTCGCCAGAACAGTCGTCGGGAAGGCACAGGAAAGTTCGTCGGAATGTTGCCGGAACGGTCGTCAGAAAGTTCGCTGGAATAGAGCGGTGATCAGAACGGTCGCCGGAGCGGTAAGGGTGGTGAAGGTGGGATGGGTTAATTATATTATATTAGAATTAAATATTTAATAATAAATTAATTTAATAATTTATTATTTCATAAATAAAAATTTAAAAATTTTTAATAAAAATCTGATTTTGGAAATTTCAAACTTGTTTTCTTATTTTTGAAATAGGCTATACTTATTCTCTTGAATGTAAAATCTTTCCTTAAATTAAAGGCTATCAATTTTTGGTTAAACCTGTTTAAAGTGATCTAATAAAGTTTCGGCGTTACGGGCTTTAAAGCATCCATTTAAATTATAGGCTTATATGTGTAGAGACCAGGTCTGTTTCTAATTTCATGATGGGCCGAATTATGTTAATGAGTCGTAATTATAAATATACAGTTATGGTCCTCGAATCATACGTTTTGGTTCATTCTGTTCCAACTCCCATCTTCAGAGACAAGTAAATAAATAACGTGTTGATCTGGAATACTGAAACCGCAGGATTCATTGATTGCATTAATCATGTCTGATTCAGGTACGCTTTCGCTTTCAGTTGACATATTCTTGATGATCCAATATGAACGATTCATATGACGGTAAAGTATTTTCCCAACAAGTGGTATTAGAGTCTTCATGTTGAATCATTGAGAATTGAAATTTTAATTTCGTTCTTGTGATAATTTCATTATTTTTGAATATAGCAATTCGAATTTAGTTTTTGTTAAATTTGAAAATTTTTCGGTTGATTTTTTAAAGAAAATCAAAGATTTCAATTTTTTTTAAAAAATTTTGATTAGTTATCAGCGTCGGAGCACCGCCGGTGCTAGATGAAAGGCGGCAGCAGCCGATACTGTCGAGCGCTGTAGCTCTTCCCGATAACCCTCCTTTTTTTTTCAACTTTAGTTTTAGGGTTTACAAATTTTTAATTTTTGGGGACGGGGTATGGGTTGTAAATTTGAAGATTTAAGGCCATTCGTTACAATTTAAATTAGGGTTAAGTTTTCTAAAGATTGAGCCCTTTGACTTGAAAATTTTGGTGATTCAGCCCCTAAGGTTAAATATTTATCCTATTGGGCCTTTAACGTTACGGGTTTAATAATGCAGTTCCTAAAGTTTGAAAATTAATTAATTTGGGTCATTAAAGTTCTGAATTTTGCAATTAAGCCACTAAAAGTTCATAATATATTTAAATTGGCTCCTAAAGTTTTGAATAATTAATTATTGGACCCCTAAAGTTTTGAATATTTAATTATTGATCCCTAAAGTTTTGGATAATTAATTTTGATCCATAAAGTTCTAAATTATTAAACCTTAGGCCTCCTAAAGTTTCAATACAAATCAAATATGCAAATTCGATGATTTTATTTTTCAAATTTTGGTACAAATGACTCTTTTGAGAGGTATAATAATCAAAAGTGAATTAATTAAAGCAGCATGTTGTCAAAGCAACCTCTCTTGAGGAAATTAATTAATTTAGAATATTAAAAGGTGTTTGTGTGTTTGTGTTATTCATGCGAATATTTCATCGGCCCAAATGAAGGTCAATATTTGGCCGAATTGTACATACACCTGTGGTGATAAATATGTGACGATTATTTGGTTTAAAGTTTTATCAATAAATCGGTCCAAAGAAAGGTTTATTGATTGACGTGTTTCTTTATTTCTAATTTTGATCACTACACCAAGAGTACCACTTACAAGTCAATATTTCTGTCCAAAGGCTAAATATTGATGTTGTACTAGGTATCTTGTGATGGACCCTACCATTATTTGAAATTATTATTTGCATATTATGAATTGTGAACACTTCAAATTAATCGTTCTCTAATTTAGTTTCAGGTTCTGTTGCCAATATCTTTGCTAGTATCAATTCAATTCCAATGTTTAATGGCACCAACTTTAAGGCATGGCAAGAAAATGTAATGATTGTTCTCGAAGTCATGGATCTGGACCTTGCTTTACGGGTCGATCAACCTATTGTACTTACTGATAAGAGTACTTCTGATAACAAGGGGGAGATGAAAAAGTGGGGACGATCGAACCGCATAAGCTTGATGGTTATAAAACGTGCTATTTCAGAAGCATTTCGGG